ATTCAGGCTATCTGTATGTATCAATCTATCATATAAGATAATAGAGAAATTTTATTAAAAGTAATCAACTTAAGTAGTGAATTTACATGAACTAATACTGATTATTTGTTTATCAAAATAAAAACTAAACAAGAGTGAAATGATATCGTAGAATACGACATTGAAAATAGTAGTATAATTTTGATATTAGATTTAGTTTACTTTTATTTCATTAATAAGTATATTCACAATATTTGTTTTGTTTTTGACTAAGTACTGCTGAGAAGTCCCGCAATGGGATGAAACTGCCGTCCAGTGCTTCCAGGTTTTCATGGTGGTCTAGCTCCAACTGACTCATGATCTCAACTATTGAAGTTACCATAATATCCGCAAAACCCCCTTCTGATACTAATCAGCATACGCTCCCTAGTGACTGACTTCAAGAGGTATATCCTGGAATCCTAGTGAGAAACAGTGACCAGTGGAGTTCAACCGGGTCCGTTGTGAGATAGTAACTCACTGATGACAATGGTCGATGTGTCACTCAATTTCGCGAATTAGTTGAAGTTAGACATTAACACTATTGGATGCCGCCTTACTGGTCTAGAGGATAAGCGTTCGTGTGCGAGACTGATAGATCCTGGGATCGAATCTCGCGAGGCGGGATCGTAGATGCGCACTGCTGAGGATTCCCACAGTAGGACGAAACGGCCGTCCAGTGCTTCCAAGTTTTCCGTGGTGGTCTAGCTTCAATTGACTCATGATCTCAACTATTGAAATAACCAATATAAATTTCAAAAGTGAAAGTCATTAGCTAAAAATGTAGATATCCATCGGGAAATTAACAATTATTACATGTATATAACTAAATTAATGAAACTATGAGTTAAATATTGCATAAAAGAAATTAAAATGCAGATTACGAAATAGGCGATTAGTTATTTTCACTCATTGTAACAAGTGTTAAATACAATATTCTAGAACCTTAATATAAGAATAAAATTAAAGAAATCAGTATAGAAAACAAGTTGTTTTACCAACAGCAATATCTGTTCATTTTATCCATTGAGTTGTAGCAATGGTAGCGGTATACAAAATCTTTCACAAATCATTCTACATGAGGTTTATAATAATTATATGTGAAAATTATATTAGAAATAATCTCAGCAATTGAAATTTAAAATAATTCCAACATTTCGTCCAACAAACTTGTTTGAACTTCTTCAGAGTAATAATCGAAATTATCAAAGAAATATATATAGCGTTTAACAATCAAATCATATTTGCATGTTGACTTTAGTAAATAAGATAACATGAGTCAGTTAAATGAGAATCATGTGAAAATAAATGACTGGAAGAATTGTGTGTGTGTGTATTTATGTGCAAGACTGAGTTATTAATGAATGATATTCTGTGTTAATTTGTTTTTATATGAAGGAATAAATAAAAGTGCAAGTTCAAGGTTGAAAAATTGTTTCTAGATCATCGATGTAGCATGTCAAATGAGAATCATCAAATGTATAATTGTATTGCTAAAAATAACTCACATTAATTTCAGTCAAAATAACGATACATATGAAATAAGCAGGTTGAATAAAGAACGGGTTCAATTACTTGTTAATGAATATTTGCCAAATAGTTGCTAGTTGAATACCATCCTTTCGGTTCAGGCTGTTCTTGTTCGTCCATATATACAGCGTTTCTGCTGTCAATCTTTCTTATATCATGCTTGTTTAGAATCCTCTTGATTTCTTCCGATGTTTCACTACGGTATGAAATGACCACGGTGGACTTCCAAACCCAGTTTAATTTTTATTTTAGTTCCAATAATCCTCTTTAAAAAATGTTTTGGGTAGTTGTTATCCCTAAGTGTAGACAAAACTCTATTCAATTCAACCTGTTGGTCTTCTTTATCTGTAACCAGCTTAATACTTCTGTTCATTAAATTTTTTACAATAGTGACTTTCGTACAGAGCGTATGAGTCGAACCATAATCTAAGTATCTCCTAGAATGTGCTGATTTCCTGAATACATTTATTTTCGACTTGTTATTATGTCTTCACTCAACCAAACAACAGAGGAATGATAGCTTGTGGTCACTGGATTCTAGTTCCTTTGCTAGCTTAATGCTCCCTGAAATGCTGTTTACATTTTCAAACAATTCTTCTAAACCATCCAGTTTAATGATAATAAAAATGTCTTCTACCTACCGTAACAAGACTTTTGGTGGACATACACTTCACGTGATTGCACTGGTTTCTAGGGAATGCATGAATTAATTCGCTACAATCGGATTTGAAGTTACGATGCCTATTAGATCCATCTGAAGTTATCAAATGTTTGGAATTATGTTTACGATCCACTTTATTCATATGTTGAGTAGACCTTTACGGACAAAAAGGAGGTATAGCAATGGGTTCATCAGTTTCTCCGATTGTAAACGATTAACTTTACCTTTAACCTGGCCATTTTTTGGATTATTAATATGGATATATAATTGTAGAACTTGGAGAGAATTTATAGAAAATATTCTTTGTTGTTTTTCTTCATATTTGTCAACTGGATTATAATCTGACCCATCAATTATTTTCTTCCTTATCCCCCGATTAGTACGTAACTTCATTTGTTATTTAGTCTCGAATCAACTACCAAATAAATCAACTTATAAGAGATAATACTTTTATACGAATATCTCAGCACCATGGTTTTATTATCTATGATCAGTGTTAGTAATTCCAGAACATTTGATCATATTATGAACATTGCTGAGAATTAACAAGTTGATATATCTGATTGTCTACATAAACATTAAATCTATAATAGAGTAAATGTATATCAGAATAGAATACCCCAAGCTTGTAATCGAGTACAGGTCTTGTAAACTTGGTTTAGAGCCATACATTCTTATACTTTACCCAACTGCCCATACGAATGTGCAGAGAGCAATTCAGACCAGCGGCCAAATGACTGGAAATAAGTTACTTTGATTAGTAAGGAAAAATATTTGTCAAATTACTAAGAATAAGACATCTTCAAAACGGATTCACTATGAAGAGGTTTACACTTTATAGAATGGATTAAAATGTAGCTTGGGTTATTTTTTGATCAACCTAAAATAGAATATTGCAAAGGCACTGTAAACTGATAAAATCAATCCAAACTCAGTTATCTACGACCGTAAAGATGGCTCAATAATGAGATTATGCACACACTTATTGATTTTTTTTCTTGAAAAAGTTCAAGAAATATAGGCTTAGTTATGGAATTTTTATGAGTTTCTCACAAGAGATTCATCATCTAGATGATAAGATTTTATTTATTTTGTCTCTCTTGCATACACATAGTGTCTAGTATTTTCGATTTTAGAGAATTCAACCTTGTCTTTTCATGTGGCTTTGATCAAATTGAAAAGAAATTGTTGTTATATATAGTATGGATTCTTTCTCATTCAAAAAAATTATATTTACAATACGATTCGTGGTTTTACTAAATACATCAACGTCAGATATGTTGTATTCTAGTTTGTGTTGACCATACATGTCAAGTTCTATGTTGAATAATACCTATATTTTCTTCAGTATACAAAATGTAGAAATAAAGTAAAATGGACGGCTAGTCATTGTGATAATCCGCGTAGAGGGACTGGTCTAGTGAAAATTCGGAGTAACGGACAAACAGTTCTAATGGTTTGTTCTCGAATGAGTTAGTCTGGTTAGACCAGATGACTGACTACCGAAATCTGGTTGAAACGTACCCGCAGATGTACAATTTTTGATTGGACTGTAAATTATGACAGAAAACTTTGGGTGAAATTGCTCTAAATTGTGTACTCTTTCACTATCTTACCATAAATTCTGCATTATGACACTAATTCAAAAATCTTATCCCAGAGACTTATGTAATCCTTTTCGGCTTACCTAGTTTTCATTATCAATTAACTCTACCAATATTCCAGCCTGTTTCCTTTATTATTTTCAATCACCAAGCTTTGAACGTGTTATGGCACGTATCGATACATTTGCTTTGTCTAATCCCTTATGACTGAAAAATCACTCATAAAATATGTGCAATTAATAAGGTTAGACCTGCTAATTTCAAGTAAATTGAGCATTTGCAAGAATATTAACAATAAAATATGTGGGATAACCTAATCAACAGAAATAGAGATTTCTGATGTTTCATGGTCTGATATAAGTCGCTTCAGAGTAGATAAATTCACACAAGTTCAATCGAAATCATCATGGGTCTGATTACGTTAGTGTTATTTTCAGTCAAGAAAATCCTGTTTATATTTGTGCACACGCTAGTAGGTATTAGGTGTGAAGTTCCTTGCATTAGGGATTCTACCTGTGAAATCTCAAATCTTGCAAAGGAACACCTAAGCTACATAATCGTAAAAAACCTACAAATCAAATGGGCAATATAAGTACATGCTGTTTTTGAAAACTACCAAACCGATGTTAGAAATATCAAAATAATTCAGAAAAATCTTCCTAACCACAAAGGTATTTCATATAATGTTAAGTCCCTCTGCGATCACGAGAAAGGATGGCCTGACTATCTATCCGAACTGGACTGAACCTTATTTGATTCTATTCATGTCTCACACCATATATATACATAAGCAAACAAATGCCAACTTTACTCCACATCACAAATGTCACATTTTACACACAAGGTGGTGTCTCACCCAAAATCACCTGAACTAAAAATGACATGACATTGACATAACCAGGTTTATTTTGATAGTTCCTCTATACTAACCAAACTTGTGTTTTCGTTGTTATTTATTTACTCAGAAGAATTGCCTCACACTATGTCACGAATTTTTGTACATCCTAATATATACCCACTGGAGAATCACAAGTATATCATTAATTTATAATCATTCGTAATACGCATTTACTGAACTTTTAGTGAGTCTACCCAACCTTACCAGTATTACGATTTACTGAATAACCGTACTTATCGTATAAAAATTTCTATGCAAACGGCTCATTTCTATATTGATAGGAAGTATTACAGAACGTTGTTGTACAATTTCTTTATACAGGATAAATCTTGTATGAAGCGTTAATGAGCTACGAAATAAAGGAAAACTATCAGAATAAACATTAAAGTTGACCGAAGAAATGAGTTATTCTTGATTTTCAGGTTAACATGTTAATTCTGTAGGCGAGAACAGGTACAACACTTTTCAGAATGCTCGATTTATTGACTGACACTGAGTAACTAATCTCAGATATCAACCAAATGAGTACTATTTAAAAAAATACATTAAGGAATACGTCTTTTATGAATATAATTTGAATACTTGAAAGTTAGTCTTCGTTCCAAACCAAATGCCGTTACAAATTGCATCTTCCCCTTATATTCAATTTTAATGTCACTATATGAGTTATTATAAAGAACCTGTAAGAAAAATAACTACTAATGCCGAATGAGTTGACGAAGTAATTATGATAGCATTACAACAGCAAATAGTTCAAGAAATCTTTCAGAAGCCAGAAAGATCTAAGACGAAGAGAGATTTTAAGTTTAAGAGAGTAAAGATTAGAATTTCATAGGCACAACTAGTCACCTGGATGACGTAAATGCAATAATTAACAAGCATATTTAGGCTCAGTTCTTGTTGACTGCATCAAAATAGACGATACACTTTGTGCCGCAACAGAGGATAAGACAAAATTTAGTTGACTAAACAGTACAACTATCTAATTATCCCCACTGTAGTTGAATATCAAATAAAAATATGGAAAAAAATTCAGAGCTACTGTCAACCAGATTACTGCATTTTAATAACTCTATAAAATCATTACAAGGACAAATTAATTAAGGATGAACTAATAATATATACTTAAATATCTAAGTATACGATTAAGAATTACAGAGTCTGGCGCATAAAAATGGGTCAGAAATAATTATTGAGAATAAAATATACAAATACCTTGCAGAAACTCTAAGAAACAGATTATTCTTCCATAAACTAAGAACAAATAATACATACTCTGTTCATGAACAACTGAAATATGAAAGTTATGAAAGTACTATACGAATACTTGTATATATATATATGTATACAAAAACTAAAAGGTTTGTAATTGTTACTAGTTGCATTTTAGAACGCTAGATGAAAAGAAAACTTGAATAAATTTTAAAACTTGAAAATTAACAATGTACTTGAAATACTTTTCATAAAAAAGCATATTGTTTAAATCTGAAGGAAGTATGTTCGTGGATCCTCAACAAATTCCTTGATTTTACGTAAAAACGTTACTGCTTCGCGACCGTCGATCAAACGATGATCATAAGTTAGGGCAACATACATCATTGGACGGATGACAACTTGTCCATTTCGTGCAACCGGTCGATCAAATACGCCATACAAACCTAAGATTGCAGATTGGGGTGGATTGATTATAGGGGTACCAAATAATGAGCCAAACACACCACCGTTGCTAATTGTAAACGTCCCTCCATCCATATCTTCAACAGCCAGTTTTCCGTCACGGGCCTTCACACCTAAATCATTGATACCACGTTCAATATCAGCATAATTCATTTTCTCAACATTGCGCAACACAGGAACAACAAGACCCTTAGGGGTTGCCACTGCAATACTAATATCAACATAATCTCTGTATATAATGTCCGGGCCATCAATGACAGCATTGACGGCTGGTTGATCCATAAGAGCAACTGCAGAAGCTTTAGCAAACGTAGACATCATTCCTAACTTCACACCATGACTTTTTAAAAAGATATCTTTATACTGACTTCTAAGTTCGAAAAGATTTGACATATCAATCTCATTAAATGTGCTTAACATTGCACACGTATTCTGGGCATCTTTTAGACGTTGGGCGATCCGAAGCCTCATACGGCTCATCTTTACACGCTGTTCTGCACGCGCACTATCAAGAGATGGGGATAAGGATGAAGTTGTTGCAAGACTTTGAGCTATTTCTGGAGGTGGAGTAACTGGTGAAGGAGCTCGAGGTGAGACGAGAGGCCTCTCTTCAGGCTGCTTTTTTGCAGTCTCTTGGGGTAGCTTTTCAGAAACCGTGGAAGTTGGAACAGCACCCTCCTCCATTTTAAAAATATCTTGACCTGCAGTAACTTTTCCCCCATCTTCAACAAGAAATTGTGTTATCACACCTGAACATGGGGCTGGGACAGGGACATTAGTTTTGTCAGTTTCGATTTCCGCAACCAAATCGTCTACATTTACTGTATCACCGACGGCCTTTTTCCATACAATATCCCCTTCTGTGACAGATTCGGCGAATGGAGGTACATTAACTACACGTATAGCAAAAATATAGGGACTGAAGTGCAGTTGTCGTAAAGATATCCTGATTAAACAAAAAGAAAACAAAATTTTTATACAATCTCCACAGTTTCATACAAAATTCTAGAACCAACCTTTAGACCATCGAATATAAAAATACAATCAGCAATAGTATTGGGTTATCAGCTTATATCAAAGAATTCAGGACTTCAGAAATCACTCTCCACTTTCAAAAAAGTGATTTAAAATAATCTTCCTGTCGAGCGAAGAATTAGACGATGAGAAATAATATATCGTTAGAACAAATCAGAGAGTGTATCAGTTCAACTGTTTTCCAGAACCTTTGGGTAGTTTCAGGTTACTAGAGAATACTAAACATGTTTTTCTTTATAGTGAGTCCCAATAATGCACGTCAGTCAACTGCTGCATTATTTTTATCAGCGTTTAAGAAGGATAACGTGTAAACTGAGTTAGATACATGACAAGGTAAATCAAAGTGAATTTCTAGACGAACCTATACATTTTCTAGTGAAAACTTGTAAACCTTGAATAAATAATAGAAAAGTCCTCATCTATCCCATATGAGTGGTAGTAGCAAAAAAAGAATCTTTTAGAAAGCAACTTATATCTGAAAACCAATAAACGATTTTGTTTTTAGTGGTTTTATACACGGTCAAATTCTAGGACGCAAAAGTCTATGAGAAATGGTAGGATGGACCTGAAATGTTGGTAATGACTGAGTGGACTTGAAAAATAAACCCCGAGTGCTAATTATCGAAATTAAGGGAGATGATTTGAGTAGTCAATACCTTAAGTAGTTGCAACTCTCACTGATCCACTCACCCCGGTCATTGTAGGTTGGTCAGCGAGTAGAAATAATCGCTAAATAACTAATTTCGACTCTCAAAACCCTGTAATTTTTAATCGCAGCTTTAAGAAGCGTTTTTAGACTGAAAAGACAGACAGAGAGCTAGAACGTCTAGAAATTGGTAGTGTTAATCGAAGGGAATAGGCTGATATTAAGATATCAAAAAGTGATAACCAGCTTGAGTATAAGAGCGTTTGCGTTAACAATCACCGAATCCAAGAGCTAGATTTTCATTATAATCTAGTTGTGACAGATCTTTAACTGAAAAACTGTATATAGAGTGAAATTGTCTGTGTAAGTGGTTTTTCTGAGAATCATTTCTATGTCAATTTGTCTAGCCTAATTCAAGACCAAGATATACGACGGAAACAAGTGGTTTACTATAGTTAAAGTGCGTTGGTGTTTTCTGAAGAACCTGTAGATTTAAAGTAGACTTACCTAGAGGCGAAATAAGAACCATGGTCTGAAAAACAAATCGGTTTAAAAGCTGTACATGTACGACAAGGAGAAATGATATTCACACAACGCTTGACAAAAATATTCGAAAGAAACGGTCGTAATCTCATTGCAACGGCTTAACTCATTCAGGCGCTTTATCTACATGTAAATCAAACGCACGTTAAAACAAGTCGTGTTTCTAACCTATGAAAAAGGTTTTGATGCAGGGAGATGATGTGTTTTAAGCCCTTTTTACCTTTTCTGTGACTGATAAGGAGCTCAAGAACTGTGAAACTAAGACTTTCCTGAACAGGGATAGTGAGTCGTTGGTTACTATAGATCTGGTTTATAGAAAACTGATCGCAGTTCTGAAATGACATGTTCTTTAATCTAGATACTTTATAACATGAAGTTCAATCATGTTAGTTCTGCAAGAAACACCCCCAGCTGAAGGCGCTCAGTCAGATATCTGGACCAGATGTATTTTTCCTCGTTGAGTAAATTCTATTGTTTTGATCGTTATTACGTATCAAGACTACTGTTTTCACTTTAGTTGAATTTGTTTCAGTTAAAGTATTCGATTACAGTACCGTTTCTGCTTCCATATTAGTTTGTCGTCGGTGTTTCAAAAAGGGCAGTGATTTTGTACTTGTTGTGATTATCCTTGCTTTTGTGTAATTATTGCTAGGAAGCATTCTTGGTCTAAATCGAAGTACTTTAGTTAAGGTTTGGAATCTTGCCAAAGTTTGTCTTGTAGTACGCTTTTACTCGTTGACTGACACTGTGTTCATACTGTGATCACATTGTGTTTTACACCATAATCTGACTAGGATGGTTGGTAGTACTCACAAATGTGGACAAGCAAACTGTTTGTTCCCCGTGGATGAAGGAATGCAGTGTGATGAATGCAAAACGTGGTTTCATAAGATGTGCACCCGTTTAAGTCCCAATGTATACGAGAGATGTTCGAAGCCTTACTCATATTAGCGTTGCATGTTTTGATGTGCAAATAAGACGTTACTAATACAGAAAGGGTATGAGTCTATCGGCTTTGGCCTGTAAGAAAACGATGGAGCGTGCCGTGATAACACGAGCACTGACAGTGACGGATGTGTCAGTGTAGTACCTGCTGTTAGGAGACGCCTTAAACAACCGACTTTGACTGACGGAAAAGTGAAATCTCCGTTAATATTAACGACAGGGGTAGTACCACCTGACACTGACATTGATAACCATGCGCCCCTAGTGGAAACTGAAGATCTGGATAAAACCGTCACTGATCCAAATAGTCACAGTGTCCTGAGGGATGAAAAATGGACTACAGTACGGAGAAAATGAAACGAAAAGAAAAAGGCTGTAGGCAGTACGCAGATGGTTAGCAAGTCACTGATGGACTCCCACTGTGAGTCACTAAATGCACTACCAAAATCTGATGCACTGCCAAAATCTGATTGTACGAGAGAAACATATCCCGGCGTGAGTGAGAAGACGAATCTAATCTCATCAAATATTATTGTGAGTAAATTGCTGGAGTCAAACGACCCTGATCCCAAAGTTAAACACGCGCATGATATAGAGAAGCTGAGAATATATATTCGTAGTATCTTATCAGTTGCCTCTAAAAGAGTTCAGGTCAAAAATTGGTTAGAATAGGTAAGGAGACTGAGGAAAATGTTGAACCCCGCCCATGTAGACTCTTTAAGGTAGTCCTAGGATCGGAGAATCAGCGGGATCTCCTGTTAAGTGGCGCTCGTTGTCACGACAGTGCCGATATACGGATTAGATCTGATATGTTTCTCGAAGATAGAATAAAAAGAAAGCATTAGCTGAACTAGAAACCCGTCGGCTAAACGGTGAGGAAAATCTCCGGCTGGTGGGTTTTCGAATACCCAGGTCTTGGAAGCGAATTCTATCAAAGCCTGTGTGAATAGTCCGTTCTACTTAGGAGTTTTATATGCCAATGCTCGTAGTCTAAGAAATAAGTTCTATGAACTTGAAGAATTAGTGGACAGATTAAAGCCACTCAGCGTAGCAGTGACAGAAACTTGGTTAGTCTGTCCATGACTTAGACATTACTCCAGAATTATTCAGATACCATTATCTCAGGAGTGATAGACATAGATGTAGAAAAGGAGGTGGCGTCCTGTTATATATAGCCAATAATATAAGTATCTGCTCCTCTGCTAGCGAATCCCAAGATAGCGGTACTTGTGAAATCATTAACTGTAAATTGGCTTTTGGATGTAGTACATTTATGCTCGGTGTCATCTATCCGAGCCCGATCTGCTTAGCCGATGACTTTATTTTAGAGCACATTCATCTTTGGAGTGCAAACATCAGATGTTTGATAATAGGAGACTTTAATGTACCTGATATTAGTTGGACTGAGATGACCACGGAAGGATCTCTAAACTCCTTTGATAGGAGGATCCTAGTAACAATAATGAAGCATGCACTAGTGCAGCATGTATCCAAACCCACACGTCTTGGTGCTAACCAAGGTTCTTCTCCGTTGGACTTGGTAATCACTCATGAGACTGAGGATATTGTTGACCTAAATATTCTTACGCCATTAGTGAACAGCGATCACGCTGTTTTGTCATTCATGTTTAGAACTAGGGACATGTTATACGACCGGGTTACATCCCGCCAAAATGTATGGGAAGCTAACATATCAGCCATTCAGGAATGCTCTGCTAAGACAGATTGGTTTGTGGATACTAGCTTATCAGTTAAAGAAGCATGGTCTGTATTTAAAGGTAAGTTTATTTTAGTTACGTCCCCATTCATACCATAACTGGTACCGCGAAGACCGAATAACAGTCCACCATGGATAACGAAAACGGTGCATGTCGTGAGGTCCTGGGCCACAAGAAAAACCATCACAAGGAATGGATCACGGTTGATACACTGGATAAGATTCAAGAAAGAAGGAACAAGAAAGCAGCAATCAATACCAGTCGAACAAGAGCAGAAAAAGCCAAGGCACAAGCTGAATACACAGAAGTAAACAAACAAGTGAAGAGAAGCATCAGAACCGACAAACGTAAATATGTGGAAGATTTAGCAACGACGGCGGAAAAGGCTGCAAGAGAAGGAAACATGAGACTGTAACAGCTAAGGTTGGTTGGTTCAGAGTTGACCCCAAACAACCAAGCATATGTCAAAACAGTATTGTTCAAGTATTCATTCACTTCCTTGTTTTGTATAAGCGTTATATTCCCTATTATCTTATATTGACTGTTGAGAGCCTTTGTTTGTCTGAACAGATAATCCCATGCTCCACTGTCACCGCGCTAAGATCGAAATAAAGACCTATTCACTACTTGTCTGGTTTCTTCTATCAATAGCACGAGGGTTACTTTAAGGCACGAAACTAGTGAGCCCTTTTTGAACACAAATTTAACCTCATTTCTGTTATTAACATTTTTTTTACTTAATCGTAAAAGTAGACCTGATTATCCGTAAACTAATTTGAGTATATAACTAGTTTATTCCGTATTATCTTAAGTTATTCGTGTTATAGTAACCACTTTTTGTGCTAACTTTATTGCTATATTTGTCGCATACCTCATGTCAGACTCAATAGAAACCCATGATCTGGAGGATTTGTCACCAGTGGAGATAGACACTGTTATGACTACGAAATCCCGACTTCTAGAATTTGATCTTAGTGATCCTGAGTTGTGGTTTGCTCAACTAGAGCATTATTTCACGAGACACAATATCAAATCTGAAGGGATTCGCTATAGAGACTTGTGTTCTGTCCTTCCTCCTTCAGTCGCCAAAGAAGTCCGTGACTTGATTTTAGATCCACCATCACCACAACCATACACCATCTTAAGACGAGAGATAATGAACCGTTTATCATTATCAGATAGTCAAAGAATCCAAAGACTTTTTCAAGGTGAAACACTAGGTGATCGGTCGCCGTCACAGTTTTTACGTCACCTCCAAGTCTTAGTGGGTGATAACACAGTGGGTGAAGCAGTCCTAAAACAAGGATGGATACAAGCTCTCCCATGCTACGTCCAACACTGTTTGGATGCACAAGATCCTGAAACCTCATTATCTCATTTAGCGCGTATAGCCGACAGAATAATGGAAAGAGGTCCTCCAACTGGATTAGGCACAATAAATCACACACAAAAAGTAGAATCAGCAAAAGACCCCGTCATAGAAGGACTCATTGCGAGTGTTAAGAGTCTCACTGAGGCTGTCACCAGAATGCAAATGGGTCATAGAAACAGGAGCTGGTCACCACAACGACCACGATCCAAGTCACAAATGTCCAGACAATCTGGGCAGTTTTGTTGGTACCACCGGAAGTTTGGTGTCAACTCAACCAAATGCGTGCAAACATGCGCCTGGCCTAAGCATAATTCTAAGTCAGCTGGAAACGAGCAACCCCTCCCCAGGTCGCGACGACTGAGCAGGGGCGCCTAAACGGTCGCTTGTTTTATGTTAGAGACAGAAACTCTGGCTTGAATTTATTGGTGGATACTGGCGCTGCTCTTAGCATCATCCCTCAAAATAAAACTGAGATTAGTCGAGAAACATCCCCAACTACACTTCCAGCTGCAAATAAAACTAAAATTGCGACATTTGGGCAGAAAACTTTAACCCTAGATTTAGGGTTCAGGAGGCAATTCCCTTGGGTTTTCACGGTAGCCGACTTAGATCTGGCAATACTGGGGATGGACCTTCTAGAGAGATACGAATTTCTAGTTGACACCAAGAAACGGCGATTAACACTAAAAGAAACTTCGTATTACACAAAAGGCAAAGAAAGTCACATCAGCTCTCTTAATTTGATTCAAACTCCCTCAGTAACAACAGCGAAATTTCAAGATATACTCGCGGAATTTCCAAACTTAGCTAAACCAAACCCACAGCCTTCTAAAGACAAACTAAAAGTGAGTCACACTATCAAAACCGAAGGTGCACCGGTGTTTGCAAAACCCAGGAGACTAGCACCAGCTAAGCTCAAAATCGCCAGAGCCGAGTTTGATTATATGCTACAATTGGGTATTATCCGTCCCTCTGATAGTCAATGGGCATCCCCTTTGCATATGGTCCCAAAGAAGAATGAAGGTGACTGGCGACCGTGCGGGGATTACAGAGCCCTAAACCGTCAAACCGTACCAGATAGGTACCCAATAC